CAAAGTGCATCAAGTTTATGAATGATCTCCATCTTGAGGTGAAGATAACAATCAATTACCAAAAGATTTATCATTACCTTACAATGGTGAACAAGTGTAAGATCTACGACCGAGATAGCCAAACACGTGTTGCACAATACAAGAGTATGGATCCAACCAGAGATAAGAGGTTTGGTGCTCAGTGTAGAAGTAGGTCATACTTTATACCTATAAACTTCCAAAGGAATCGAGCTAAGGGATGTGAAAGCAAGCTTGTTGTTGGGTCTTTTGTGTTAGTTGAGTTGCTAATGTTGGAGGATTAGTTTCTACTTTTCTACATAGGTGTAAGAAGTGTGGACGTAAGGGCCATGACTTTGTTGCATGTCCTAGTAAGGAGGTGACTTTTTTTAACTGCTAGAAGCAAGGTTATAGTAGTGTTCAGTGCCTATCTCTAAGGAAAAAGAAGTTTTCTAGGTCGAGTTCCCAAGTTGGTTGACCAAAAGCCACTAGGAGAGTATTTTCTTTTAGTGGTGTGAAGCTACTTAATCTAAAAATATGATACAAGTTTCATAGCTAACCAACCTTTTATTGTATTGTTTGATTTTGGTGCAATCCATTATTTTACTTCTCATGCTCATGTCCAAAAGCTAAATCTGCCAATGTGTTGTTTGGTGTATGACTTAGTTATGGAGACTCCAACTAATAGTCCAATAACTACGTCAAGCAATGTTTAAAACATCCTATTATGATTTCTGACAGGTAGTTTCTAATTGATTTAATTTGTTTATATCTTAGTCAACTAGACATAGTTCTTGGAATAAATTGGTTATCTTCCAACCATGTCTTATTAAACTTCTTTGATAAATCAATTTCTTTTTGGGAAGATTAAGAATGCGGATTTTATTTTTGTCAATCAAAAGTTTTAAGTTGATAGTTGCTTTAAGTTGATGAAAGTTGTTAAGTTGTATAAGCATGTGGTGATGAGATACATGTCCTATTGAGATACATAAAAACTAGAGGAGAATAAAGTTATTTTAAAAATTAAAATATCTCATTGTGTGGATATAAGTTGTGGTATTTTGAGAGCCTAGAGTTGAGAACCCTTCAATAAATAAGTTGGCTTCTGAATAGGTAATTGTTTCTAAGTTGTCTCATCTAGGTTTTATGTTGAAACAATAGGAGGACCAAGTTGAGCCATACTATTATATAGTGACCAAAAACTCCTAAAAAGGGGTTTAGAAATTCTATGTCGAAACGAGTTGTTCCCAATTTGGAAAGGGCCGTTTCGAAACAGTTTGTTATGATCAAAATTCAAATTTGGAATGGGCCGTTCTGATTTTAGAATGGGTCGTTCCATATTCAAATTTTGGCCTTAGCAAACTGGCCCAAAACAAGCCGTTCTGAAATCAAAACGAACTATTCTGATCAGATCTGACGTCTATAAATAGTAGATTATGGCACTGCTCACAGGGGGGAAAATTTGTCTAGAATGTCCTAAGTAGCTAGAAAATTCTCTCTCTCTCTATCTCCTTGTATTTCTTGAGATGTTTGAGGCATTATGTAGTTTGGAAGGTAGCCAAAAAGTGTCTAAGAGATCTCCTCATTTGAAGGTCCAATAAAGCTCGACAAAGAGGTATTTCAATCAATACGTTTCTCTTCCCTCTACTTCCTCATTTTAATAATTATTGTTCCAAATAAAAGGAATAACCATGTAGACGTCTTAGGATAATTCGTGTAATTTAAATTTCATGTATTTAAATAACAATTAATAAAGGGGATTTGATACTTAAACTATTAATTCTCAATGTGTTAACTTCATCATAGGGTACTGATTTAGGGCATTAATTGTAGGGGTGCTTAATATCTTCCTTACACGTAACTGACCCCGAACCCAATTTTGGTTATCAAGGCCAACATTGGATTTTTCAAAATCTTTTCTTTTTCTAATGTTTTGAGTAAAACATTGGTGGTGACTCCATAAACCTATTTTCAAAATCATTATTTGAGGATTTGTAACAACCCGCCTGGCCGTTCCACACCACAACACAACACCACGCAGAATAGAGCATACATATATAAAAATAGAATATATACACATATGTCTAGCCTGGGAATGAAAGTCAAAGTACAAAATACAACCATAATGCTACACTAAGTAGCCAAAGGAAAGCAACACAAAACATCAGCCGCATCTGCCAGCTGTAGACCTGCTACTATCCTCCAGCCTAACCCTGCTCTGCTCTCATACACAGTATGATCATTGCAGTCCAAACCACATGGAAAAAATAAGGGTAAGCTAGTGAAAAGAATCAGCATATATATAGAGAAATTATAAACAACTATAGCTTATCAGCAATCATTAAGTTCAACATACAACACATCACATATACAACTCACATCATTAAGAAAAAACAACATCAAATAAACAATGCATCATCACTCATTTCAGCTCGGAGATCTCCTACAACAGCTCAGCCTTACGGCCTATAACAACTCAGCCTTATGGCCTACAACAACTCAGCCTTACGACCTACAATAGTTTATATTCATCATTCAGCACAGCACAACATAACAGCATTAGCAGCATAACAACATATGGCACAACTAAATTTTTTTTCAACAATACCGCTTAAACATCATTATTCAGCATGAACATCTCACAGCACAACTCATCATCAATCAGCTCCAACAACATTCAACATTAATAGCTTAAATCAGCATAAATCAGCATTGGTAAGAAAGAACACATCCGCGCCCGGCGCAAGAAGAGTTGCGCCCGACGTGGACCAACCAGAGAGCTCCAAAGCTCTCACGCGCCCGACGCAATTCCAATTGCGCCCAACGTTCTAGAAGGTAGAGACTCTCAGGAGTCTCCCACGCCTGGTGTACCAAACCCACGCTCGGCACAAGTAAGGCAGAGACCTCCTCAAGGTCTCACGCCCGGCACAATACCAGAACCCCAAAATGCTAAGTCACTATCTGATATCACGCCTAGCGCAGTTCTTCCACGCCCAGCGTGAGCCATCCAGGGGCTCAAATCCCAATCTCACCCGGCGCAACTAGCCTTGCGCCCAGCGTGCTTGACCAATGGAACCCTCTGATGGTCACGCGCTCGGCGCCAAGAACTACGCCTGGCGCATTATCAATCAGAAACCCTCCAACTTCAAAAATTTTCACCAAAACCTGCAAAAATAGATAGCTCAAGCACATGCAATCCATTCAAAGGACCACATTTACATCAAACAGCTCAAAAATCACTTCTTTTTCAACATGCAACCATGAAAACATCAAAAACCCCAAATTTTCACCCTTTTCCCCGAAACCCCGAAAACACCATTTTCTTCAAAACAACCCATCAATCTTCAAGAGATCAAACAACAAGTGAGTTTCTAACTCAGTCTCAAAAAACTAGAACAAATCTAGCTTCCCTTACCTCGGAGGAGAAGGTTCCGAGCTTCCGGGAAGGAGAAAGTGATGAAGAAGAAGATGATGAAAGGAGAAGGAAGAGTCCGCGCCTTAGCTAAAAATCAACACTTCCTACTCAACACCTTCAACACAAGGAATCACCACATGGGAGTTTAGCAAAAGAGAAGAGAATGAGAGAACAATTTCAAAGTGAAAGGAGAAAGGAAAATATGAGAAGAGTGTTGAGAGGAAGAGAATTGAGAACGGGGGTCTCACAAGATTAGTCTGGCATCCGAACATTCCTTATTTAATGAGATTTTTGAAAATGGTAGTCTACTCCATTGGTCATAAGATCAGAATTTTTTTGGGTTTCGACATGTTGTAGGAGATCTCCATTAGTATGTGTCATAACACATTATTTGTCTATAGTTTTTTATGCATTGATTAAAGTTGTTCATGTTGAGAATGTTGTTGTGTGGTAAGTTGCTACGTTATTCTTATGTTGTAGATGATAAGTGGAAAAGTTGTTAAGGTGTGTTTTGTTGTGTTGTGTTGTGAGTTGTATATGATGATTGAATGTTGTAACCAATGATGATAAGTTGATGTTGTGCTATGAATTAGCTTGATGTTACTTAAGTTGTTTATGTTGGATATGTGGTAATTTAGGTTGTTGTTACTATGTTGATTCTTTCACAAGTTAACCTTTTCTTAATTTTCCTTATAGTTGAATTAATTGTAATGATCATTCTTGGTATAAGAGTAGGGTAGGGTTAGCTTGGTGGCTTGAATACTAGTGGTTGGTCATGCTGGAAGTGTCCTTTTAGTATACACTTCTTTGATGTAATATTTGTTGTATAGAGATGCTAACCAATGATAGAGTTGTTTTGTTTAAAGTTTCCTATATTACATGTATGTTGTATATGTATATATATGTGTGTGTAGGGTATGCATTTAACCTCGTAAGGAGATTTATGTTTTCAATCATATTAGTAGGAATTGTTGTAAGATTTTTGCATCATATACGTATAATTGTTGCACAATAATCCTAGTATAATTGGGTAGATTATGTTTTCCTTTACGTAATTATTGTGTTATATTAATTGTGGTGATCTATTAGTCGTTACATCATTCACAGTATATTAAAAAATAAAAATAAAAATATATATAATTATTTTATTTACATAAAATAATAAATATATTACCTAATTAAATTATTCACATAGAAATAATTTAATAATCTTTATTTAAAACATCATTTATTATCTAATTATCTAAATCAATATTCAAATTTTATTAATCATTTTAATATTATAACAAAGTTAATAATACAGACCTAACGAAAACATAAAAAAATATTAAAAGTCTAAAAATCAAAACCGTAAAATAAGATAGTAATTTTTACCAGGATTGATTAGATATTTAAGTATATATTATATTTTTTTAATAATTAAAAGACTAAAATTGGATTATATGTATCAAAATTATATTTTGGCTTATAAAATAGAGTGTATTCTACCACCGTCTTACAAAGAGTCGGTTATCTACCGATTCTATTGGATTGTTTTTACATATAAATATCTTCCATTCTTGACATTATATAAAGGGCAAACGGTGAAGCTAAACCACATTCCATAGCCATCCTACAAGACCTTATTCCTCACACACATTCCTACTTTTGTGCTAAGAGGTATTCCTTACACAACATGGGCTCACTTGATACCTCAAAGCCTCATGTTGTATTTGTACCATACCCAGCACAAGGCCATATAAACCCCTTGATGCAACTAGCCAAACTCCTTCATTGTGTGGGTTTCCACATAACATTTGTGAACACTGAGTTCAACCACAACCGTTTTGTTAAGTCCCATGGACCAGACTTTGTTAAGGGTCTCCCAGATTTCATATTTGAGACCATACCCGATGGTTTGCCACCTTCGGATAAGGACGCAACTCAGGATGTTCCAACACTTTCTGATTCTATTAGAAAAAAATGCTATGGTCCTTTCAAGGAGCTGGTGGTGAAGCTCAACTCTTCACATCAAGTGCCTAAAGTTAGTTGCATAATTGCTGATGGGATTATGAGCTTTGCTGCGAGAGTTGCTAAGGATTTGGGCATAGCAGAGGTTCAATTTTGGACCGCATCTGCATGTGGTTTTCTGGGATATTTGCAATACGATGAACTGGTAAAAAGAGGCATTCTTCCATTCAAAGGTGCGCATTATTTTGTTCATGTCGTTTTCTTTGTCATCATGACGCTTAATAGAATGTATTAACGGTGTAAAAATATTGCATACCGTCGTTTAATAATTAGTATATATATATATGTTAAATTTGTTAAATTTTAAAATAATTATTATAAAAGTCATCCTAAATATAATTTCTAAATCGTTTGATAATATGAAAAGAATTGTATGTACCATGATAAATGAGATTAATTTTTAGTTGTTAATTTTTTTTAAATAAGAGATGAGTCATACAAAGGTATTATTTTAAATCAAAGATATATTTATTTATAATGTTTATCAATCATTTGTATATGTTCAATAAAAATTAATAAAAAATAAAGTAGACAAAAGTGGAAACTAGATCAAAATCTACAAGAAGATTTAGTAAAAATGAGATGAAAGTAAATTACAACAATTTTTAAAAGGAATATTTCTAGAACAAATAGGAAAAACATTCTACCAGACAAAATCAACTTTAAAAGAAAGACCAAGAGTGGTCAATCAATATGCACATTAATTACCTTCCTTGTAAATATTATCTCTTAGAGACTAAAGAATAATTTTTCCATAAGATAGAACAAGTAATATAGGCTTAGAATAACTTTCCGATCATAAATTAAGTAATTCCCTATTATTACCATTTACAATAGCAATTATATAACTATCACTACTTTTTTAGTTGTCAAAAGTAGTTGTCAATTCAAAAATATTATGAGAATCCTTTAAAAAAAAACTATATTATTAATAAATAAAATTATGCTATTTGATGAATTTTAGACAACTTTATTATTATAACAACCTCTTAAACTATACCTTTTAAATTACTACTCTTTTCATCCTTTTTTCAAAAATTACCATCACAATTATACCTATTTAAAAACTTATTATTATATGCTTATTTTTATTTTATTTTCAAAAATATATAATCATGAATTACCTATTTTATATTCTTATTTCTTAAAAGAATTTTTGTATGAAAAAAAAATTGTCTAAACCGAAATGTCACCCGTTATTACTGTCACATAACACAACATTAATTAAGAAGCATATAAAAAAATTTAATATGCTGAGAATTGTTAATCGGAAGAAGAAACACCAAATTACTCTCTTAAATATTATTCTTGAAAGAAAAAAAAAAAAAAAAAAAAGATAAAAAAATTAAAAAAA